AATTCATTACTATCAAAGATTGAATGATAAACAAGGGAGAAATGAGTTCTTAACCAAGAAGCTTTAGATTCAATAAGGTAACTTTCTAATTTCAATGATAGTTCTTTAAGTTCTAATTCATTTGCATTGATCATTAATTCATAAATGGTTTTGGTATCCGAATTTTCAATATCGACAATTCCACCATAGATATATCTATAAAATATATTTTATTTTATTAATATCGAGTCACAACACAATTAATTTACTATTTTAATATGATATTACTTACTTAAGAATAATTTCGAATATTTGAAAAGAAATATTTGACTTAATAATAGTTTTGATATGATTTTTATTCGTAGGAGCGTTCTCTAATTCCTTATCAAAGTGTGGTGAACGATAACGTAAGACGACTGAGTGTGCAGTAAAAGATTTCTTATTTTCTTCTTTATCAACTTCGATGATAACATTATATTCTTTTTTGTCATTAAGAAGTTCCGAAAAATCAAGTGATAATTTATCAAAAAATTTTAATGACATTTTTTTTTATTTATTTTAAAAATTTTATTAACCAAACCAAATAGCAAGTTTGGTCAATCCTATCTAAGATCGTGTCAAAATAAAAATCCACATGCGTGATGCCAACATGACCGTCGAAATAAGGTAAAATTCTAATAATTGTGTTACAACTATATATATTATCTTTTATTATTATTTATCATAATCATTCGAGGTGATGTTAATTTTCTAATAACGACGACAATTCAAAGAAATTCAATTTCAAAAAAAAATAATTTGAATCATTATTATTATTTTTTTTTAAAAAAAAGAAAAATATCCAATGGCATCCAAAACTTATGGTTTCATTAATTTATATTTAATATATTTATTAATTTGTATTGTCACCGCTTACCCAAGTTCGGTGTCTACCACGGAAATCTGTGACAACGGTGGTAATTGTTATCCTAAAGTATTCGAAGCGACCGAAGAGTTTAAAGAAATATTTGAAGGACAAGAAGTACCTCGAGGTATGACAACATTTTTTCTCATATATCATATATCTCATATGTATATATTATGATTATTTTTATTATTTATATCATACGTGTTCAAGTATTCATATATTATTATTATTAGGTCTTCATATTAAAATTGATTTCGAAACAGGAAAAAAATATGCAAAACTTTTGGATTCCGACGATTCAAGATCATCATCGGAAGTTGTTCTTTTTGAAGATGACGAAGATGAAGATGAAGAAATATTTTCCAATGTTAATACTATGCATCAACAAGAATCTTTACAAGAATCTTTACAAGATTCATTAAAAGAATCATTAAAAGATTCATTACACGATACATTGAATCTTGATAATAATAATAATAATGATGATGAGAATATAGATGGGTATAACACTCGAAAGAAGTATAAAAATTATAATTATTCATTACCAATTATTCAAAAGAAACCACAACCCCAACTACTTCCACCACAACCACAACGACATAAAGAAAATAATCGTATTTCACATTCGGATCATTTACTCTTTGATAATTATATTTCTCAATTAATCCAATCATCATCATCATTATCATCACTATCTTTAACAAAGATATTATCGATATTAGATGGATTGGAAGAATTAGTTCATGAACTTGATTTTGGTATTAAATTGTCTAAAGGGGAAGGATTAAAATCTATAATTTCACTTTTAGATCATGGTTCAAATGAAATCAAGAAGAAAGCTGCTTTGGTTATTGGTGCAGCGATGCAGGTAATGATCATTTATTATATATAATTCATATTTCTTATCGAATTAAATTTATTATTTTATTTTATTTTGATTTTTATTTGATTTTTTATTTGATTTTATTTTTTATTTTTATTTTATTTTTTTATTTTATTTTTTATTTTTATTTTTTATTTTATTTTTATTATTAATTTTTTATTTATTTTTATTAATTATATTTATTTATAGAATAATCCATTGGCTCAAAGTTATGCATTAAGAATCAATCTCATTCCTCGTCTTTTAAATTCACTTTCATCTGAAGAAGGAAATGATAACAAAGTTTTATCACGTCTTTTATATGCCTTATCAAGTGTCGTTCGTGGAAATAAGTTAGCGATGAAGATCGTTAACGATAATGATGGATTAAGTCTATTAGCAATTTTATATGGAAATTTAAAGGATAATGAATTTCGAACAAAATGTGCATTATTTATTACCGATTTTATCGATCCAAATATGGTGGATAAATCGGGGGAGGCAGATGACGTGTTGGATCAACAACAACAAGGGAATTCATTATTATTTTCATTTTCGGATGTAATAGGATCTTGGTGTGAATTATTTCAATTTACTTTACTTGATCGTATTGATAATGTTGACGAAGAAGAAGAAGATGATATTATTAGTCAAATATCATCACAAGAATTAGATTTTGATTCGAAAGAAAAAATACTTAGAGGAATATCAATGATAAGGAAACATTATCCTCTTCAGTGTCCAGCTCAAGATAAGTTTAAGATATGGTTATTGGAACAAGCTGATTTAGTAAAAGATGAAGATTATTTAGAAGATTATGATCATTTGATCTCTCAAGTTAAAAACCAATATAACAACTTTTAATTTCTATCATCACATAACAATTATAAACAATAATAATAATTTAATTAATAAAATTTACACAACGATTTACTTTAATTTTATTCCAATTTAAACAATTTACACAATTTACACAATTTACACAATTTACAATTTTTTATAATTTTTCTCAATTTGAAATAATAATAAAAAATATATTTGAAATAAAAATCATTTGACAAAGATTTATTCAAAATTTTTTTTTTCGAAAAATCATTAATCTTTTTATTTCTTATCTGAATAATCTCATCGAATAATTTCAAAATTATATATCATTTTTAATGTACGTGAAAATTTGTATCACGCAATTCAATTGATCAATGCAAATAATTATATAATATTCTTTTAAAAAATAATAATTATGATCTTTTTAAAAGAAGGGAAAATAAGGAAAAAGGAAGAATAAAGTAAAGTAAGGTAAGGTAAATACAAATGGTCCATTTTTTTTTATCATCTTTTAGAATAAAAAATAATATATTTTGTGATAATATAATTTTTTATGTTTTTTTTTTAAAAAAAAATAATATAATAATAATAATAATGATGATGATAAAGATAGCGAGAGAGAAATTTTTAAGCAATAATTCATTAAATAATAATAATTATCACATTTAAATAATAAAAGTAACCAAGTAACGGTTATCATCGTCATCATATAATAATAATCATATAATAATAATCATTTTACGATCGAATAAACTCGACCTCGCTTTACGCTACCTCGTTTAGGATCGATAGTTCCCTCTCGAAATGCCAATGTTCCAAAGTTAATACAAGGAATAAGATTTGGTGGTAATAATGAATTAATTTTAAAATCTTCTCCATCTATAATCATGCTACCATTTTTATTACTACCATTAATACTATTATCAATATTATTATTATTACTACCAATACCAATATTATTATTATTAATATTACTACTACCAGGTGTTGATCTACCACTTTCGGAAATAATTTCTCTAATATCATCATTAATAATATTTCCATTTACTAACGATAAACCTTCATCTGAAGAAAAGGAAGAAGAAGAAGAAGAAGAAGAAGGTGGTGGTGTAGGATCAGGAAAAATGGTATTTCTAATTGGAGGAGTTGAAGTCGATAATTGAGGAGCAAATCTCTTTGCTAACTTTTCACTGATATTTCCATTAATATTTCCATTAATATTTCCATTAGAACTATAATTAATACTTGAATCACTTGTATTATTATTATTATCAATACTCAATGATGATAATGTTGATGTTGGTGTTGATGTTGATGGTGATGCTAATCCATGATTATTTAGATAATATGGTTTTTTTAATTTTATTAAATTTTTTTTTGAATTTATTAAATTTTTTCCTGAAGGTAATCTTCCCACCTTTTTATTAAGTGAATTGGCATTTTTTTTAGCTGGAAAAATAACTGACATAGATGTAAGTTGATCATTTGTTTTAGAATTTTTATTATTTTTAATAGCTTTAATATTTTTGGAATTTTTATTATTTTTAGTATTTTTACTTGATGGTGATGATGGTGGTGAAATTGAATTGTTATTAGATGGTGATTCAATTAAATTGTTATATAATGAAGAATCTGCAATTTTACTTAAAGAATCTTTACTTGACGAAGCAACTGAATTTTTAATTGATAAATCTTTATCTTTATTTGATGAATTTGTGACTGATAAATCTTTACTGGATAAATCTTTACTGGACGAATTTTTGCTTGATGAATTTTTACCAGATGAATTTTTACTGGATGGATTTTTGCTGGATGGATTTTTACTTGATGGATTTTTACTTGATGAATTTTTACTTGATGGACTTTTAGTGGATGAATTTTTACCAGGTAAATTTTTATCAAGTAAATTTTTACTAAATGAATTTTTACTTGATGAAGCGACCGCATTTTTAATAGCAACTAAATTTTTTCTAGATGTTGCGAACGAAATTTCGTTCTTATCGTTCTTCTTATCATTCTTTTTACCATTATCATTCTTCTTATCATTCTTTTTGACATTATCATTCTTCTTATCAATCGTCATTCCCCAATCTTCAGGTTTAAAAATTTCATCAAAATTAATTTTGGATATCGGATAATTTTCATAAAATAATTTATGAAGTTCAGTTGTCGTTGAATATCGTTTTTCTGATGTAAGGGGAATAAAAGTTAATGCATTATATCTTCTTTTATTATTGTGATTGTTATTTTTATTTTTATTGTTATTTGTTCTTGATTTACGATTTTGTTCTAAATTTGATCGTGAATATTCTATTCTTCTTCCATTATCGTTAACGTTAATTTCATTAAAATCGTTATTTTGTTTATTATTATTATTAATCATTGATTTGGAGGTCGAAAAATTTTCCACTTTCTGTTCGTGAAAAGATCTTAGTTTTGATATTCTACTTTCACTTTTTCCCATTAATCTATTTAAATTGCTGTTAATTATTAAATTGCTGTAATTAGTGTTAAATCTTGAATTATTTTTAGTTTTTGAATTAGTTTTAGTTTTTGAATTGTTGTTAGTTTTTAAATTGTTGCTGTTATTGTTGTTGTTGTTGGTTTTCAAATTGTTGTTGTTGTTGTTGTTATTGATTATCATGTTATTGTTGATATCATTATTCAATACTGATGAAGATCTATTACGTGATATATTTTGACAATCTATACAATACCATTTTTCTCTAATAAAATTATCACTAATTTGAGGTTCATGACAATTTTGATGATATCCTTCATTACAATTAATGCATACACAAATAAAATTATATTGATTATCCGATTTACCATCGCAAACACAACAAGAAATTAATGAAGAATTATTTTTAAATTTTCTTTGTCTTTTCTTTTTATTATTAAATTTTAATGGGTTTATAATTTCATCGTCTTCTTCATCTGTTGTTTCTGATAATGTTTCTGAGATTGAATCCGAAATTACTTCAGTTAATGCATCCGAAAGGACTTCTGATAATGATTCTTCGAGCATCTCATCATCAATGCTATTACCATTATCTCCCATCACTGTACTAACGGAATCGTCTGTTATAGTACTTGATGATAAATTTGATGAATCAGATTCATTCCCTCCTTCTCCATCTTCTTTACTGCCTCCTTCTCCTCCTGAAACTGAAGAAGAAAAAGAACTGCTTCTTAAATTGTGTCGCTTGCCTTTTTTTCTACGTTTAAATTTTTTGGAAATAAAAGAATGATATTCTGTTGAATCAATAGATGATGATGGTGGTGATGGTGGCGATGATGATGATGATGATGATGGTGATGATGATGATGAAATAGAATAATAATTGTGATCATCGTATTCAGACCATTTTCCACTTTTGGAAGAATTGGTTTCAGAAATATTTTGATGATTATTATAGATATTATGGTGATGATGATTAATATTATCATCATTATGACTATATTCACTTAAACGGGAGGATGATGCCGACGAATGTGAACACCAATAATCTTCATTCTATATTAATTAAATATAATAATAATAATAATAATAGTAATAAAAAAGAGTTACTTTTTGAAAAACGAAAATGAATGCATTGTATATAATTCAATAATCATGGTGACAATAATTATAATGACGATAAGAACAATGATAGAAACAGCAACGACAATAATAAAAATAATAATAACGGATAATAATAATAATTATGAATGAATGAATTATCAAAAAATTTATACTAACGATGTCATTTTCTAGAATATTATTATCAGTTTCGCTTGAACCGAGAAGTGGAGGAGGATAGTTTCTTTGACTATTTAAAGACCTTTTAGAACCTCTTGACCTGGTAATATTATTATTATTATCCATTTCTAATATCTGTTAGATATATATTTAGATATATATGGTGGCAAAATTTATTATTATCTTCTATTGCTGTTTTCTTTTATTATTTTCACTTTCTCTTTTATGTTTTATTATTATTATTTTTTTTAATAATGAAAAAGAACATGTATACGTATATGTGTGCGTACGTATTTATTATATTTAATTATATTTAATTAGATATTTTATATTTATTATGTTTAGGGACAAGTAATTATTGTTATAATTGAAATTTTTTTACGTAGTGGAGGAATTAGACCTCATTTTTTAAACTTAGTTTCGACTATATATAAATACAAGTTCATTGCACAAAAAAACAAACGCAGTAAATAATTGGCTACTCGGAAAATAAGATTGATGATTATCCCAAAATAAATTTTTTTTTTACATACATTACAGGACAGGCAGACAATACAATTTATTACATAACATACTTTTTTATTCATTCTGTAGGTGAGTTCATTGGTTTAAAAAAAAACGAATGTAATTTAATTAGAGTTTAACTTTCAAAGTTCAGAGAATTGATAGATTATTTTTTTAAACTATTTTTTAAACTTAAACTGTAAATTTTTTTTATCTATACATCAAATTTTTAAATAATGTTGATTTCAATTTAGGAGAAAAGATAAGTCACAAAATTTGATACAAATAAATTTATCGTCACCTCTCTCAATGGTCAGAATATAAAATTTTTTTTGATAATATTTTTAGTAATTCATAACAATAAAATATTTGATAACTATTGAATGATTTACATAACATACGATATTTCTGAAATGCTTGTTGTTGTTTTTTATATTACTCAAAGTGTTCTCTGACTGTTCTCTCTGTTCAATTTGCTAAAAAACAAAATGTTAGGATACAATTTTTTAACTAGACTTAAAAAATTTTGCTACACACAAAACACAAATTGAAATTACCTTTATTTCTCATATTTCCTATATTTATCAAGAATAAATTATATTATAAAATTGAAAAGGTATTAGAGTCTATTTAGAAAAAATAGCTAAAATTTATGTTATTATCTTTATTTTATTTTTTTTATTATTATTGTGGCATATAGAGAACATTCTTTTTTTTTTTACTTTCGTAGATAACTTTGAAAAAAAATAAAAGTCCGAATTTTAATATATTTTTTTTAAAAAATAAATGAATATCAAGAGAGAATAGAAGATAGATAGAACGGATTTTCTGTCAGGATATTAAACCAACTTCTTGAGCTGGAAAAAGTGCCAAATGCATTGCATTGTTGATTTTGGCGAAAAAAATTGCAAAAAAAGGTACCAGTGAATTGTTTAACAATAATATATCCTTAAAAGAAGAGGCAACCATTTATTCAATAAGTACTTTTTTGGAACTGTCAATAAATTGTACAACAGAAGTTTTTTTTTACAATTTATTTACTCGACTCGACTCGAAACAGTTTTTTGATGAAAAAAAAATTTTTTTTTTTTTTACTTTAAAATAAAATTAATAATAAAAAAATAATAATAATAAAAAAAAAAAATAAAAAATGTCTTTCAAATTTTTCGATAAATTATCTCAAGATTTTTCGAAACTTCTTAATGATAAAAAAGATTATAATGTTATCATCGAAGTTGATAAAGAAGAAAATAAAAAATCTTTTATCGCCCATTCGGTCGTCTTACGTTATCGTTCATCTCACTTCGATAAAGTATTGGAGGATGCTCCGACAAATGAAAATCTTATCAAAACTATCATCAAACCAAATATTTCCGCTCAATTATTCGAAATTATTCTTAAGTAAGTAAATTAATTAAAAAAAATTTATTACTTTAAATATTTGTATCGTAACTCAAAATTAATAAATAAAAAAAAATAATTACATTTTATTACTATTTTTAGATACATTTATGGTGGAATTATTAACATTGAAAATATAGATAACAGAACCATCTATGAATTAATTATCGTTGCCAATGAATTGGAACTTAAAGAATTATCGGGAAAATTAGAGAGTTATCTCATCGAAACTAAAGCTTCTTGGTTAAGAATTCATTTCCCCTCGATTTATCATTCAATCTTTAATAGTAATGAATTTGAAGGTTTGAAAAAATTTTATAATGACATTATTGTAAAATATCCAAATTTAATTTTCGAATCCGAGGATTTCACTTCACTTCAAGAAACCGCATTGGTTTCTATTTTAAAAAGAGATGACTTGAAAGTCGAAGAAATTAAAATTTGGGATTACGTGATCAAATGGGGAATTGCACAAAATCCCACTTTACCTGAGAATTCGGAAGATTGGTCCAAAGAAAATGTGGAAGCCTTGAAAATCACTTTACAAAATTGTTTACCTCTCATTCGATATTTTCATATTCCGGGTGAATACATTTGGGAAAAGATGAAATCTTATAAAAAAATCCTTGATAAACAACTTTGGGATGACATAATCCTACGTTCTATGTCCCCCGAGAAACCTGTTAAGTCAATTGTTTTACCCGCTCGAACCATTACAAATCCTAAATCACCTTTACCATCATCCTCATCATCAAAAAGACCTATTTCAACCTTTGAATTATTATCGCCATTCTCAACCATAATCAATCAAGAACATGTCGCGGAACTTTCATCATGGATTGATCGAAAATCCACTGCTTACTCTTTATCAAATATACCTTACGAATTTCAATTAATCCTTCGAGGTAGTCGAGATGATTTTCGTCCTAAAACTTTTTGGGAGATGTGTAACGGGCGCGCGGGTACGATTGTGGTTTTAAAAGTGGCGGGAACTGATGAAATCTTAGGTGGTTATAATCCATTGGCTTGGGATAATAAAGTTGGTGGTGGTGAATTCATTGAAACCAATAGTAGTTTCATCTTTTCATTAAAGAATGGGAAAATTGAAAATTCAATTCTTAGTCGAGTGATGGATAATAGTGGAGCCCTTTATTATTATGATTCGAATTGTCAAAATGTTCTTGGTCCATATTTTGGGAATTGTGAATTTATGATGGAATCAAATGTTTCGGATTTCACCAAGGATAAATTATGTTGGTGTGATCGGGGTCCTGATGGTAATGATAATTATTATGAAAAACAGATTCGATCGACTACCGAAAAATTTTCGATTGAAGATTATGAAATATTTAAGATTGTCAAAAAGCAATAATTAATTAATGTTAAATTTAATTAATTTAAAATTTCAGCGGTGTAAATTTTTTTTTATTGTCATTTTAAAATATTATAATATAAAAATATATATAAATAAAATATTTACAAAATAATTATTATATTCAATGGTGAGATACACAGGATAATGATTATTGCTAAACATACGTTTCTGTTGTTTTTTAATCCAAACAAATGATCAAAAATGATACTATTTTATTATTATTATTATTAATAACTGTTCAACTCCTAACTGACAAGAATAGTAAATGAAAATTTTACAGTAATGTTTTGATTGGTGAAACAGTGTGCAGTAACACGGCACGCATCTTCGAATAAGTACTTTTTGTTTCAACTATTCCGACCGATTGGCATAATAAAATGTTTTTTAAATTTTTTGATAAATTGTCACAAGATTTTTCGGAGCTTCTTAATGACAAGAAAGATTATAGTGTTGTCATTGAAGTTGATAAAGAAGAAAATAAGAAATCTTTTACTGCTCACTCGGTTGTCTTACGTTATCGTTCATCATATTTTGATAAAGAATTAGAGAACACTCCTATGAATGAAAATCATATCAAAACTATTATTAAACCAAATATTTCTGTTCAATTATTCGAAATTATTCTCAAGTAGGTTAAATGATAAATTATATATTAAATTTTAAATTAAATATATTGTGACTCGATATTAATAAAATAAAATACATTTATTAGATATATCTATGGTGGAATTGTTGATATTAAAGATACGGATGACAAAACTGTTTATGAATTAATGGTCAATGCTAATGAATTAGAACTTAAAGAACTATCAGAAAAATTAGAAAGTTATCTTATTGAA